TCTAGAATAATTTGTGTGTGATGGTGACCACAGCCTGAAGGTTTCAAGAGCAGAACTCAAGCTGGAGAGGGTTCTGGTCCTGACCTTCCTCACATTTTTGTGTGAGCCCTCTCCCGATCCCGCCTGGGTCGCCATGTGTGAGTTCTCTCCCGATCCCATCTGGGTCGCCATGTGCGAGCCGGGGGCGAGCCGGGCCCATCTTTGTGCACACAGGCTGTGGCCAGCAGCCCAGGCACGCAGGGTTGGAGAAAACCGCGGCGTGGTATGGTACGCTCGAGCTAGAATCAGTCACTGAGGCGTAATGGTTGATTGAAAAGATTATTTACTTACACCCAAGGTGGTTGCGGTGTAGGCTGGTCAGCTTTCCAGGCACAGCTCCGCTTGAGTTCTCGGTGGAGGACTCTAATAGACTTGGTTCCTTGACCCCGGAGTGGTTTAGGCTCCGCGGGTTCAATAATTTGTTCTCACGGAGCAGCTGTATCTCCGTGGGTTGCACTCGGTTCCCAGGTCCCCCGGAGCTGTTAAGACTCCGTGGGTTCGACAATTGGGTCCTTAGGATAGGGATACGTCTGGACTGCGATCGGCGACGGGGAGAGGCTAGAGGTTATGTGCCTCAGAGTTGTTAAGGCTCTGAGGGTTTGGTAAATAGGTCCCCCGGAGTTGTTGAAGCTCCGTGGGTTCGACAAATTAAACCTCTGTTGCCCTCTTAAGGAAAAAGCTGGGTTTGTAGGGATCAGCAGCGCTTAGAAATCCTCACGCTCCTTTCCCGAACGCCACGTGCTTTCTCTCTCTCCGACTTGGGCGGAAACTACCCAAGCCTTTTGTACGGCTAGCAAGCCAATAGCTAGCCGCCACGTATGCCTACATTTAGAACCGGCCAATAATGTGGCACGAATCTAAATACAAATGGCAGGAACTCCTTTGCATCGTGCATCACTATAATGCAAAAGGAATGCACTATGCAAAGAAAGCTACAGAACTGGCAGGGAAAACTCCTGCACGCGGGTTCTTAATTGCAACAGAACACTCCACCGTGCAAAAGAGCTGCAATTTGGCGGGAACATGATTTAGCGATGCCGAAGCACACACAAACAAGAAAAACCACAACTTTGGGTTGTGACAATTTTAACTTATGAGATAAACAAGAATGAGTAGGGGAGGAATAGTCATCACAGTGTGTAGAAGAATTACTTCAAAGCTGTTATTTTTCTTCTCGACTTGCAGAGCTCTGATCTTTTCAGCCAGGATTATGGAATACACAACATTTAGCCTGTACCAACAAAGAGAAATGCTTGCTCCATCTTTCATTCTTCCTTTTCTGCAAGTCCCTCCATAGCATTTGATGAACCATTTCTCCCCTTTCATACTTTGCCATTCCTGTCCTTCGATGTGTATTTTAGCCTTTCTATTCTCATTGCCTCATAATGATTCTGGTCCTGGAAAATTGACAGTCAACAAGAGTACTTTGCCTACAGGACTTTATGTGAGGTCTGACAATAGGATTGGGGCCAATCTGCCCAAGACACAGAACATATGATCCTAGTCATTCCAGTATTAGTGTTGACAGCTAGCACTCCATGGAAACTATTTCCCACCCCCACTCAGTCTCACCTTTCTGTTTTGTCTTACATTTTCCTTTCCCCTTCTGACTTCTCTGTTTCTCTCTAGCAAAACTGTACTGAATATCAATGCGCAACTGCAGTGTAGCAAGCCTCAGTAGCATAGGTAAGGGAGGGCAACTAAGGCAACAGTCCCAGACACTGCCTTTGTTGGGGAGCACAAAAATAGGCGTAGGGGCTGACTGCTGTTGCAGTTGGCAGATGGTTCAGCCTTGGGTGCCCCATAAGTGCCCCGTTATGCCTCTGCTAAGCATCCATGACTTTTTGGTTTGCTGTTATCCAGATTTTTCTCCCTTTTCCTGATAGGTTACTCAGAAGGTCAAAGAGTGCAAGATGCCACACTCTGCTTTCTCTGTATTGAAAACTCTTTATCATTGAAGTCAACTGTGCTTGTAGGTGACTGCCACTTGTCACCTTTCTGTGCCACATGTAAAGCTGGGTGGGGGGGATACAGAAACGGGTATTTAATTGATGGAAGGCTTGACCTGCATAAACAAGAATAGACTGAAACTTAGGAAGTTGATGAAATCCTGGTTTCATAGTTTGTAGGGTCGGAAGGGACATCATCAAGTCCGACGCCCTGCCATGGCAGGAAAGAGCACTGGTGTCAAATGACCCCAGCAAGGTGTTCATCTAGCCTCCTCTTAAAGACCCCCAGGGTAGGAGCCAGCACCACTTCTCTTGGAAGTTGGTTCCAGATCCTAGCCGCCCTGACTGTGAAGCAGGGCTTCCTGATGTCTAGTCTGAATCTACCCTCTGCCAGCTTGTGACCGTTATTCCTTGTTACTCCTGGTAGTGCTCTGGGGAACAGGGACTCCCCCAATGCCTGCTGGTCCCCCCTGACTAGTTTGTAAATGGCCACTAGATTCCCCCTCAGCCTTCTTTTGTGGAGGCTGAACAGGTTCAGGTCCCATAGTCTCTCCTCATAGGGCCTGCCCTGCTGCCCCCCAATCATGTGAGTGGCCCTCCTCTGGACCCTCTCAATGCTGTCCACATCCCTCCTGAAGTGCAGTGCCCAGAACTGGACACAGTACTCTGTCACAACCCAGTGATTTTTGGTGCCTCTGCACAGTGGGATTTTCTTGCCACATGAGAGCCTCTTGCACAGCGAGGGTTTTGCTGCACAGAGAAATCTCGGTGCAAGAGAGTTCCCACCAATTTGCAGCCTTCTTTGCAGGGTGCATTTCTTCTTCGCAGCACAGAAATGCACGGTGCAAAGAGTTCCCACTATTCGAATGTAAATTTGTCCCCCGCTATTGGCCAGTGCTAAATTATTCACACGGGGCGGCTAGTAATTGGCTCGCTGGCCGTTTAAAATTCCGCGCGACTTCCGCCCAAGTCGAAGAACTTTGAGCACGCTGCAGAGTGCCTCTGAAGTTATCTGACTTGCGGCTGCCGAGTGGTTGTTCAGACGACCAGACCACCTGCGTCGTGATTGCAAGCGGCGTGAGTAAAGTTTTTTGCAACCGATAAGTTGTGTCTGCCTCTCCATTCACCAGCCCGCCCTAACGTACGAGCAATCCCCAAATCACCTCGAGTCGGCTCTGGCCGTCGGAGACATACTCCAACTGTGGCCTGAACAGTGTCGCATAGAGGGGGAGGATCACCTCCTTGGACCTACTCGAGATGCATCTCTGGATGCATGACAAGGTACGGTTGGCCTTCCTGACTGCGTCCCCATGCTGTCGGCCCATGTTCATTTTGGCATCAATAATGACTCCAAGATCCTTTTCTACCTCTGCCCTGATGAGAAGGGAGTTCCCCAGCATGTAGGGCTGCTGCTAGTTCTTCTTCCCCAGGTGCAGTACCTTGCACTCGTCAGTGTTGAAACCCATCCTGTTTTCATCCACCCACCCCTGTAACCTGTCTAGGTCCAATTGCAGCCTATTCCTCCCTTCTAGCATGCCCACTTCACCCCACATCTTAGTGTCATCAGCAAATTTGAATAGGGTGCTTTTACCCCCTCATCCAAGTCACTGATGACGTTGATTCCTCTGAAGTTTGTTGTAAAATGCTTTGACTTTATTGTGGTTTAGATTGCATCCAAAGTGGGTTTGTTTTTTTTTTTTTTAATCAAAATGCCTCCATTTTTTTTTAGTGATAAAAACATTGGTTTAAATAATTTGATTCTGCATCATTTGCTGTAAGCAAATTAGGACTGCTGTTTCTAGTGCACTTCAGGATACACTATAAAAAAAAAGGGAAATTGTATAGTGAAATAGATTTCACTATATTTTTTTCTTGAAGTTTTTGGAATGCCAAATGCTTGCATTTAGTATTTCTTTTTTAACTATCTCCCTAAATATAAAGATCCAGTTTTCACACTTGAAAGGAGAATGTCAGGGGACAAAAAGCAGGGACACATTTGCAGAAAATGAATTGTTATAGATAAGTGTAGGTGAGAGGTAGCAAAGGCTCTTAAAAAAAAACCCAAAAAACTAATGGGAAAAATATGACCCTAACAAAAGCTGTGACCCTCCCTACTGCAGTGGTTCTCTCAGGAATGAGTAAAATGCCTGTGATTTTCTTAGCTAAGAGTTCCAGGAGCTTGCATCACAAGCAATATTTACATAGATCAGCAGCTTGACTCCTGAAATGGGAAATGCCCATCTTGCTGTGGTCATCTGACCCCTGTGCAAAGCAGCTGAACCCGATGATCTGCAAGATCCCTTCCAGCCCTTAACAGCTATCAAATTATGAAAAAATGCCTGCTGCATAACAAACATCAAAAACAGTTTCTTCTCCGCTGCTTGTTCTCATGCTATTAGGAAAAAGGAGAAAAGCTATTCCTGCAGCTTCTTTACTATTTTAAAATGAATGGATGAATATAATATCTCCATTGGCAGGAAAAAAAGACTGATTTAGTTACCAGCATTTTTTGACCTGTGCAATATTGTGACTGCATTACAGCTAAAACATCTCACACCTGTTGTTCCATAAAGCCATTCCACAAAGGCTCACAGCAATCCTTTGAAAAAGAAATGAAGACTGGGAAATCACTTAAAATGCAAGAGCTCCTCCACCCCCAAGAACAGTATATTTAAGTATTACTAAGCAAGATGAAAGCATAAGCAATTAGTTACATAGACCAGCACTCTGTTCTTCTTGGGCACCTCCAGACCACCCATCCTCCCCTACCCCACCTGCAGCAACTTGCCATGTACCAGAGCTCATGTGCAGGGGCACTCCCCAGGAACAAGTAGAAGCAGCACATATTGTGCCACTGCTGTTTGTCCCCTGGGAAGCACACATGTGCTTGTCTGAATGTGCCCCTTGATTTCAAACTGAAATATTTTCACCAGCACTCTTATTAGGACACTTTAAACAATAAGAACTGGCAAGAATTTCATATTAGAAGCACTAAGTATTCCTTAACACAAGTTGTGAAAAAACTGATCTTTATTTCCATCTATACAAACTTCTATTCTCGCATTTCTCCATCTTCTTCCTCTTCTTCAACCCCTCTGATGTATAGGACATTATTGCATCTGGAAATAAAACCAGAAATTTCCTTAAAATTAAATCTACTGTTGCTCTTTCCATGTATCACAGTTACCATTCCCAAACCGGATCTGAGCCCACTACTTAGAAGCAGATTTAGGCTTTGCATTCATTTTCTTTAAGAGCCAATTTGCAACTCTATCATAAACACAAGATTCCCTATACATTACGTCAGTCAACCTTTTTAGGCTCAAGGTACCTGTTGGAAGATGCCAGCTTAGTTTTCCCTCCTTTTTTGACTATCATTATAAAGAAGTCTGAAAGACCACAATATGTCAGAAAGGAATCCACAGTGCTGAAAACCTGAAATCTCTGCATTTATGTTGTGAATTATTTTTGCACACCTAAAAGTACTAATACTATGACACCCTTAAAAGGATCTCAAGGCACCCCAGGGTACCACAGCACCATGGCTGAAAATCATTGCATTAGATCAGTTCATTTTTAGGCCCACGGTTTTGTGAACTGTTATGCT